ATAATTTTTATTTACTTATAAATGTATAGAAGATCAGGAACAAGTAATCAGTATCCATTAGATAGATATTCACAAAATAATAGCAATATAAAGTACAATAGACAGAGAAGAACCCAGGTNAAAAAAACTTGCGAACACCGCTGAAATCATTGGAATTTGGAGCAGGAACTCATGTCGTGAATAGCCCCGAAAGGGTTGCTGACCAGCCTTAGCAACAATGCCGAAAGCACCCAAAGACCTGATGGGAAATTCCCATACATCAGCTGTTCACTTTGTTGTTTAGCTCCTATTTAAGTAAGTATTAAAATAATTTTTATTTACTTATAAATGTATAGAAGATCAGGAACAAGTAATTATCCATTAGATAGATATTCACAAAATAAAGCAATATAAAGTACAATAGACAGAGAAGAACCCAGGTCGCACGGTCGAAAATGATAATGAGTAGTAATAAATGATAGCGTAGAATGATGATGATGTAAAAGCTATGACATGCACCAAATCAGGCAGAATGAAACCCGTGAAACGATATATGATAATGAGAGAAGGCGCAGTGCTGATGGTGTAATGGTGTCGAATAGCGATCCTGAAGGTATGACCCACAGATTATTGCATGGTATGGCTGGATCCGATCATTGAATACAATTAGACAATATGGGGTGTGGCACGAGGCCTCCTTGAAAAGTCACGCTCTTTTCGTACGTTACCACTGTCAGGTTCGGTGAGATATTCCCTGAAATCGAATATTTATTGATTTTTTAGAAGTGTGCTGTGATTGGTCAATTATGGTGGAGATGCTGCCTGTGAGGCTTGTGATTGGTTATTGAGTACTACAAGCTTGAATCGAGTCTGCTCACCTGAATTCGCCATCATCGGCTGGATTCAAGGCATCTTTCGATGAACCCCGACTTCCGACGGGTTGTCGACAGCAATATGAACAGCAGAAACACAATGTTATGAAGAGTACAATGGCTAATGTGATCACTCCCAACACAAGTAGCGTCATGTAGAATGAGTTGGCCTTTATCGAGCCAAGCATCGACACCTGAAATATTGCGCTAT